TAGATATAGCCTGAGAGCTGTAGCGAACGGCTGATCACACACTTACACGGCAGGCTTTGATGCACCGCACTGGCACTGCGGCACTTCTACCCATTCAGGAGGACTGTCACAATCAGGTAACCGGATGTGTCACAGATAATTCGTCGGCCGAGTAAGTTAACAAACATTTCCTCATTGCCCAAAAAGGCATGTCTCAGTGAGACGGCGACGTTTATTGCCAGCCCCTCACTGACGCGAGGAAAGGTTTGTTTGTGTGGTTTGTTTTGCATTTGTTTGTTCCCTTCCCGAAGCGGCTCAGTGAGGGGCTGGGTAGGAGCCTGCATACAGACCTGATTATGAAGCAACGGAAAGGCCGAAGAGGTTTTGTGTTTGAACTTGTTTAATATAATATTAATTATATTGATAGTATAAGTGTTGTTGGGGGTGGGGGTGAAAATGTCAATCGCCGGGTTAAATCACTCTCCTGAGTCGAGAATGGGTACCCATTACACAGGCAACCGCATCCTGTTAGACATATGGGCACTTCCAGGGCATTCCAGCAGGATATATGCGATAGGTGGTGACAGATTAGACAATTTCTCGATAGGCCTGTTGTTAAATCATGAGATTGAGGGCTAAATCCGTGCAGAAACCGATGGACCTTTGACGGGAAGTCGACAGATCGAACACAGAGCCATTGTTCTTGGGACATGGCATGCGTGACATTCAAGACTGTTGTCATACAGGGGATGCCCACAATGAGTACAAGTTTGTACGATCCCTGGTGACATAGGGGGGTTAGCTTTGGTTAGCAAGTTGAGGTCGGAGAGGCCTCACCAATCTGGTGATGCACGCCCTTGTTCTCCTCCTTGACATGGTTCCTTTTATTCACCGTCTTCAATAACTGTATCCTCTTGTCATGCATCTGCCACCTAAACAACAGCTCGGCATAAACACGGACGTGTGCAACGAGCTGCCTAACAAAATCATGCGTAAACACGGGTTTTGGCCTGAAATTCATCGCGAGTTACTTCTGTAAAATACAAGATCAAAAAGAGCGACTCACTTCTCATCATCCTCCGGCGGGTCAAATGCTACGGTGTGCTTCCCACCCGTACTGACATCACTCAACTTGCTCTGGTTCGAATTTGTCCACCTCGAGTTCGCCGGCCTCTTCACCATACCCGCAGGTGCGATGGCAGCCGTGTGTCTGGCAGACGAAAATAATACACCCGAACCAGGTCCCGGACCACCCCCGCTACCACTACCACTACCACCAACACCACCTGACAACGTCCTAGCACCAGGCCCCCTCTGAAGCGGCGCAACCGTCCAACATCTGCACATCCTTGTTCTTCGGAAAGTTCACATATCTTCAGAACCCCGTGTCAATCACTAGCCCGAAAATAGCAACAAAAGTGCGCTCACATCTTCATGAACACATCCGTCGCCAACCTCTGACACTCCTCATTCAGCCACTTCCCCTCCGAGTTCATGTTCCTCAACATCACCTGCAGA